TTATTTTGACTTGAGAAACTACTAAAAAGTGGTATATATTGAAAGTGATCATGGGGCTTCCAAAAAAGCACAAGTAACATGATGAGATAGAATATATATAACTTTATAATAAATTAAGTTTATTGAGGATATTTCAACAATAAAAACAAATAATCAAATCTGATCTCAACTTTGAGTATGTATATCTGTATACCTCAACTCGTTTTTAATGTGATGCTCACTCCTATTTATAAAAATGATCATCTAGACATTTTTTAATTTTATATTTCATGTCAGCATTATGAATTCATGAGATATAGTGAAGACATATTAAAGTATTTAAATTGTCAACTGAGATCATATATCTAAAATACGAACGCTCAAAGTTGAAATACTTATTTGATCAAATTTGAATGTCTGTTTATGCATTGGGCCGAACTTTTAATGTTGTTTCCTTTGCAGTGCATTCTAAAAGAGAAAATACATAAGTTACTATCTTCTGGGCCCAACACGTGTTGACATTTTTTTCAAGTTAGTGCCGCGTAGGCCAAAAATGATAGAAAATTATTAATAAAATTAGTTTAGAAGGATAATAGAACCTTTAATTTGTATAGTATAAGTGTATCGTTGTGATTTCGGACATAGATTGATGATACTTATGTATTTTCCCCTTTTGATTTTGTGGACAACCTATCACCTTTTATTGTTATACAAAATGAAATTTATTATTACATTTGAATATATATGGAGATATATGATTTATTCGTGATTTTTGTACGTAGTCAAGAAGTGATCACTATAAGAAAAATAACTTTTAGCGGCATTAAATATTGACACTAATAAAGAGTGTTAAAGTCTTTACCAGCATTAATTAAGTGTCATTAGAACCAATGTCGTTAAAGACTTTAGGGACATATACAAGAGTGAAAATTGCCGCTAAAAATATATATATTTAGCGACAATTAAGAATTAAATGCCGTTAATGATCATTTTTGTTGTAGTGGATGCTACAATTATTTATTTATTTTTTTAAAAAAACAAAAATTTATGGCATCTAATAAATATATTATTCTGATGTTATTCCAAGCATATTTTAAGCTTTTAATTGGGTATCTAGCTTGTAGTCCTTCCCCCCAATTTCTTCCACAAAAAAAGAGAACAAAGTTGGGCATCTCAAAATTGTAGAGACCTTTTTTTTCTTTTGTGTTTTTGTATTTCGTTTTCGTATTAGAGTTTGATTTATTTAAATTCATGTTATATGGTCCATTTCTGAGTCAGCACTTTCAGAATTCGAACCTAAGATCTCTGATTAAGAATATTGGAAAAATTCAAACCATTTCATATTATCGAGATATTGACCTAGATAATTATATTTTAAATGATATGATAATGTTAAGAATTAATTTATCATGAAATATAATTTTAATTAATTGCCCACTCTTTTAGACATTTTGTGAAAAGGTTCTTGTCCAGATTCAGAGATGTTAACCTCCATAATCTTTCTTCTATTTCAGCAAAGAATCACATCTCCAAAAAGTATAGCCAAAAGCACCTTTTTAACCTTAACAACTAATTAATACATTCACAAAAACTCGAATCATCGAGGAGTGTGATGAGATGAATAAAATTTCGTTACTCTCAATCAGAAGTCTCGTATTTAAATTTTTGGAATAGAAAAACTCGTGGTAATATCTCTTCCTTTACTAGTAGTTCTGAATAAGGAGACACGAATTTGATGATTACAAAATACATAAAAAAGTGTCTCGCGTTCACGTAGGGTCAAGGGTGCAATTATATAAACTGTCTATCTTGATGCGATTATAAATATAAAAATTGATGAATTCACGACCTGTAGATAATTTTATCGTTATTTTTTCGATGTATTTTTATATAAAGGGAATAAAAATAAGTAAGGAGAAGTTTGTACATTTTGTATAAGACGATTTCTTGGATAAAAATCTAAACTTTTCTTTATGAAATTAATTACTTTTTAGAATGATTAAGATGCAAGAAAAGGAATGTAAGAGACTGAGGAAAGCTGAAATTTGCAAATTTAAAAAAATTAATATTAAAATTATTTCGATAATTCATGTTTTATATTTGAATTATCAGATGTGTATAAGTAACCTACGTAAATTATCACGAACTGTGAACAGCTACTAGTTAATGTATTGATAAATAGTTAGTGATTAGTTCTGATTGAAAACTCACATATATTATGTTTGAAACTCGAAAAATCAATATTCTAGATTTATTTTTTTATCATTATCACACACACAACAAAAAAAAAAAACTAATAAAGAAAAACGAAATCATTTGATAAATTAAAGATAATTATTTTTATCTCACCTTTGATATGAATACCTCAACCCAAACATAAAATAGAATAAATCTCAAATTTTATTCTGATATTATTATTCTCATCCCACATGAGTATTTTATCAACCCAAACATAAAAATAAAATTAATCTTAAATATTATTTTAAAATTATTATTCTTATCCGACGTATCAAACCAGACCAGAGTCTTTATCCTCTATACTAGTCTTTTTCAAAATTTAAAAAAATTGTTTCTTCTTCATCAAATATACTAGCAAAAAAAATATACCCCTATTAAGTCCAAAACCCCTAGTACCAATTTTTTTTTTTTAATAAATTAATAATTTTTTAACCTTTATTACATCTTTATTATATAGTACTATATAAATAGACATTACAATTTTCCCAAGTTTCCTTAGAGAGCATTGAACAAGAAGAATCATCAACAACAAAATTAGTAAATACAAGATTTCAAGAATACATACAACTTCATCAATCAAAAATGATTTCATTAACTTTCATTCTCTCATTTTTCTTCTTCTTAATCTTGTCATTTTCTTCACTAATTACATCTACTTTCAATAATCAAACACTTTCTCATCAACACCCTTTTCCTGAATCTGTTGTTCAACAAGTAAACAGGTAATGTTACATCTTTATTTTTCCGAGTTTCATATTTGGACTATCAGACGTCGTTAAGTTTTCTACCTGAACTCACCATCTGTTTATCAAAACACAATTCTATTATCAATTGTTTCATTTTTCTTACCTGATAACGGTGGTTAAATGTGACAATAGATAGTTTGGTGATAATTTAGATAGAAAACTCACGCACTTCTATCATAGTTAAAGATAAGAAACTCGAAAAATTAAAACATTTTATTTGTGGTTTTTACCGTTAAAAACCATATCTTGGTTTTGCTCATTTTTACATAGACGCAGAGTCAGAAATTTTAGTTTATTAGTTCTGAATCGTAATTATTTTCGCTTACTAGTTTCTAGATAGATTAATTATAGGTGATTTTTTTTTTAAAACACAAATAAAGAATTTGAGCCTAAGTTACTGAGTTCTATCGAGTATGTAACCACAATGTAATTTTGCTCATATTACATACACGATTTTATTGAATTTGCACTTTTTTGCTTATTGCTCGGATTTTTCAAAATTTATGTATTTTTTAAGGATTTGATACAAATGCGACGATTATTTTAGAGGGTTTCGAGCAACATATAATCTCATTAATATATTAAAAATTTATTATATGTTTTTTTCCCTTCATATTTATGTAGGAGGATCAATGAATCCATTTCGAGAAGGCAAATATCTGATACAACGGTAATAAATTACCAATGTCTAACGGGCAATCCGATCGACGACTGCTGGCGGTGCGACCCGAACTGGGTTGACAACCGCCAGCAGCTCGCGGATTGCGCCATCGGGTTCGGTCACGGTGCAGTCGGAGGGAAAGGCGGCCGGTATTACCTGGTTAGCGATCCCTCCGACTATGACACCGTGAACCCTACCCCTGGAACCCTCCGGCACGCGGTGATCCAGGATGAGCCTCTCTGGATCACCTTCGCCGGAGACATGATCATAAGACTCAAACACGAGCTTATGATCAATAATTACAAGACGATAGATGGACGTGGCGCGAACGTCCACGTCACGGGTGGTGGATGTATCACACTACAATATGTTACAAATGTTATTATACATAATATACATGTATACAATTGTATACCATCAGGTAATAGTAACATAAGACAAAGTACAACACAAGTTGGATGGAGAGGAATGTCAGATGGTGATGGAATATCAATTTATAGTTCAAGAAATATATGGATTGATCACTGTGCTTTGTCTCATTGTACTGATGGCTTAATTGATGCTATCATGGGATCAACAGCTATAACCATATCTAACAGCTATTTCACACACCATGACAAAGTTATGCTTTTAGGGCACGACGATCGATACGTACCCGATGTTGGTATGCAGGTTAGATTTTCATTCGATACACATCTATCATCTATCAACAGTTTTTGAAGAGTTCGAGTAACATGTTCGATTTGTGAAAATTATTAGGTGACAATAGCATTTAATCATTTTGGAGAAGGATTAGTACAAAGAATGCCAAGATGTAGAAGAGGATATATACATGTAGTAAACAATGATTTTACTGAATGGCAAATGTATGCAATTGGTGGAAGTGCTAATCCTACAATTAATAGCCAAGGCAATCGTTTTACTGCACCAGAAGATCCAAATGCCAAAGAGGTAATTCTTATATATATATAATCGCCGTGTTCGAACCAGCTTGAGTTGATGAATGTGCCTTGACTAGTCTATATCGTATCGTATAATTGTAAAAATTATATGTTACATATTGAATCTCCTTGACGTGAGAACAAAATCTTTAAATTTGAACGATAAGGTCATTGAAAATCGAGTTTGTACTCGTAGGTGACGAAGCGTGTGGACGTGGATGAGAGGGATTGGACAGAGTGGAACTGGAGGACAGAAGGGGATGAAATGGTAAATGGAGCATATTTTGTTCCTTCAGGTGATGGAATTAGCAACCAATATGCTTTGGCATCAAGCATGGAGCCTAAATCTGCATTTCTCATTGAGCAACTCACCATGAATGCTGGTGTTATTGGTGTCCCCAGGTACCCCCCACCCTCGATAATCGAGAAATCTCCGAGGGTTAGTGGCACGCGGTTAGTTTATATGATCGGTTTATAACAAGTCCAGTCCTCTACCCTTCTCCACTTAAAAGACCAAGCTTGTCTACAACAAGGTTCCAACTCATGACAAACATATGATGTGTGAGTTAGGCACGTGTCACGGGTTCAAATGCTACCACCGACAAAAGTATGGTATTTAAGTGGAGAATGGTAGAGGGTCGGACCCATTATCTACCGAGTTTCATACCGTGCACCACTAGCCCTCAGGGAGCAAGACCCCCCTCCCCATTCCACAAGCCATCTATAGACTGATATCAGCTGTAGTCATTTGCTAAATGCCAGTATAGAATAGTAAAGAAGTCTTCTATTATACAACAGGGATACCACTGTGGCCATGTCATTTGGTGGGAGAACCAGAACAACCATTGCCGCCAACCGGAGCAGTAGTGTTAGACCTTCAAGGTCTAAAGATGGTGATGGCGGTTTCTTAGAAAAGGTATTTGGGAGCGTTGCATCGGCAGGATCATCAACATCATCACCTTCAAGTTCAACCATCACCATCTTGTTTTCTCTTCTAATTTTGTATATAATCACCAACAATATTGGGCTATTATAACATTGCCATTATTACTCATACTACAGTAATCTAACAATGATTGCTATAACAACAGATGTACTAAAAGAAAATTTTCTACTTAACAGTATCAGTATCAAGGATTCTCACTTGTACATAGTTAATTGATAGTAATATCAAGAGGGATTATACCCTTTACAAATTGTATAGATCATATTTACTGTAGCAAAGGTAGAGTTCTGGAAAGAATCAATACTTTCGTGGTTTCCTAAAACGACACTTATTTTTGGACGGGAGGGAGCCTCAGACGTCTACCCAAACAGTTAAACCTCAAACTTATGATCATTGCAACATTAGTTCCTCGAAGATCAATCAAATCGAAGGCCAACTATTGGGGCTAAAAATGCTTAGAACTTTACTAGTACTATCACATCTTTCCTTGTATAGCTAAATGGTTTTGATAATAGTTCATGATTCTCTCAACTAAATAAGGTCAAACATAACCAAGAAGATCTCAAAAGTTCTCGTGTGTGTAGTCAGAAATCGATACTCTAAGCAGTTATTGTTATGAATAACTCGTATCGTGCTATAGTTGGAACATACTCTATCCCATGACACCTTACTCCCCTGTTCACAGTCCCACTCTTTAACCTTTCTCTTTTCAACTCCCAGTCCCTCTTTCCCTTGGGTTCGTTGGGGAATGAAGAAAGGTGCAAATGAAGAAAAAGAATATGTATATGTAGTCCTAGAGTAATAATTATAAGAAAAAAATAACAAAAATATAGGACAAAGAAATTGAAATAATTCTATGATGGAGTGTTTGCGATAAATAAAAATATCAATCGTTTAGTGTAGCCTCTTCGGAATTATGATCATCGGCAAGGAAACATATGTCTTAGACCCTTGATGACTATACTGAAGCGCTCAACATGTTTTGCGCTTGCTTCAAGGCTCCTTTGACAACACTGAACACTATTTCCCTAGTCCCAACAGCAATACATACACATTTACTTTTCTTCTTTTAAGTGTTTTTGGGAGGCGGAATTGCTGGAATAGGGGTCGTGGATCGGAGAACAAGAAGAAACCTTGAAGATATTGTTTGCTATAAAGAAACTTTCGAGAAGTTGCTACAAATAAATTGTTTCAAGGAAACAGAAGATAAAAACGATCAACAAGCATATTATCGCTATTGAAAAGCATTTCAGACAAAAATACGGGCAATAAAGAAACAATGGAACACTATACTTCTGTATCCCATTTTCCTTTTCCTAGAGGAGGTAGTGGGAGTGTGGGGATGGGGTTGGGGTGATCACAAAGACCAGAAATTTGATTATTTGTTAGTTCTAAAATGCTAAAGAATAATCGTCTTAGAATAGCTAAAATAAACAAAACTTTCACACTATGTCTGTCAAGGAAAGATAACACAATGCCCATACCTTCAGCCTGCCTCGCTCAAATTATGGAAAAGCAGCAGGAAGCATGGAAAAAACTTTGGAGCGATTCATCTTCAGTTTGCAAAGTCAAAAACCATCATTAGGCAGTTTGAGATGTTCTACGCAGAGGGGTACTGCTTGCACGGGACTCAGCTGGACTCACTAAGCTGTTGCAACACATTCTACTGGACCATTGAAGCAGCTTCTTCCAATTTTTTCCAAGCTCGCTCACGCTGCTCTACAAGGCCGCTGGCACCAGCTGCCTTTTCATTGTATTCCTTTTCACACTCCTCGAAAAGTTCTGAATCCATCTCCAAGAACATTCTCCTGACATTAGAGGTCAACCCGTGGACTGCCTGATTCCAGTGACCACACATATTCCTTTCTAATTGCTCAAAGATGATTGGTAAAATTGCACGTCGATTCTGTGCGATCAAGTCTACTATATGCTCATTGTTCCATAAGAACAGAGCTCGCTCAGCAACCTGACATGCACAAAATCTTTGGATCATGATCTCATTTTTCTGCAACCTTCTGAATCAAACGACAATGAAACATTTGGAAGAACAGACTATTACAAACCAATATGAGATGCCATACTTAATAAATAATGATATCATGCACTTCGAATGCAGAAACTATTTTCAAATAATAGGACATCTTCAAAGGTCTTCAGTAAATACCCTGTCTAAGCTTACCATTTTGATTAAATCCAAAACTGCCATAGGTGAGCATATGTTGGGTGGTCAAATGGTCAGCTAATACGATTCCGACCACCTTAGTTTTCATGGCATAAACCACAAAAGAAATAGGAACTCTGCATATCATTTCAGAATAACATGTCATCCACTGCATGCACTGTATGTAGTTCGATTATCCATAAGCTCAAGCTAAGAAAATGGTTGCAATACTCGTGACGCGATGAAGTATCAATATGCTGAAGTACGGACTAAAAATCAGAGTAAGTGGCAGCATTATATCCTACATACTAGAATCTCAATTTTACAGAACGCTGCATAACATCGCCATCCACGCATTCAAGAAATGCATCAAAATTATTCTCTTCATTTTTCACATTATTTAATTGTTGTTAATGCTCTTATTTCTGTATTCCCTTCTTCAAACTGCTTGGATATGCTTTAATTTAAGCCGAGGGTCTATTGGAAACAACCTCTCTATCTATATGAGGTAGGGGTAAGGTATGTGTACACTCTACCTTCCTCACACCCCACTTGTGGGATAACACTGGGATATTGTTGTTGTAAGCTCTAAATAGCTGTCATGTAAATAACATGAAACAGCAAATGTACCAGAAATTCCCGTTCATCAAGCTTGACATATTTGAACCATTTTTTTCCGTATCACCTTTAAGTTTTAACAATTCAATCATCGCATGTACATAAATGGACAAGACTGAGAATTTTTTTGATGAGGTCAATGGACAAGACTGAGAACTCTTAGAAAGTGTGGATGAGGGACTAACTTTTGATTGGTGAACTGGTTCATTTTAGGATATCTAATTCATCCATAGAAACCTGAAAAGCATGGACAGTCCAAGGAGGCAAGACAAAAAAAGACATAAAACGGCAACTGATACACATCCCAATAAACTTAGATCTTCTCTATCTGCCCTTATTTTAAGCCATTGCTAGAATTTTGGACAGACTGACCGTCTTCTGAGTGCTTAAATTTCAGTTTCTCACAGTGCATTAAGTGCTCAAAAGTAAAATCACTCAAACATCAACATATGGATATAGGAAATTTCTAGAGAAAATTGAAGTCTCACCATCATAACTCCATCAAATCTTATGTTTGTCAACTTTACAATCAAAAGGAAGATAGAAGTGCTTAACTAGGCATGGCCAACCCAATAAGTGGGGAGTACAAGAACAACAACATACCTAGTGCAATTCCACAAATAAGGTCTGAGGAGGGTAGGATGTGCATAGATCTTACCCCTACCTTTGCAGGGTAGGGAGGTCGTTTCCAATAGACCCTCGTCTCAAAAGAAGAGAAGAATTCAAACCAGGGTTGCAAGGAAATAAGATGACATAGTAACATCACAAAAAACAAATGAAGCAACTAATAGTAATAAACACATGAAAGAAAAGAAGCTATGTGATTACTAAATAATATTACTAAGAAGAAGTTGGAAGGAGGCTAGTTGCTGCCTTTCCCACAAGCAGTCTGACAACATGCGGCTAAGTAACCTTCTACATTTATCCTCGACCTCCAATAAGTCAGGAGTATAAGTATGATCCTTATACTTATCTCATCGTAAGAATAGGTATGTCAACACTGCATAATAAAACTATTCCGCCTCTCAAATTGAAGCACCTGGATTAATTTTATCCACAGTGCTTTGTTGTCTGTGTCAAGCAAAACATATTAAAAGTAAATCCTATGTTTAACCTTCGAGGAAATGTGCCACAAAGGGAAGTGTCCTTAGATCATAATACCCAAGAAAGAGCAGTATGTCACAGTTTATTCAAAGACCGAAGTTCTGTAAAGAACTGCTGGCTCATATGGCAAATCACAGTTCTATTATATTATGGTGATCGTACCTATGAACGTGATTAATCCAAAAGAACCGTGATTAAAAGGTTATATTTCAAGGAATGCATTAATTCAAAGGACAACAAAATCAGTCAAGTTGTCGACTTCTCGTCTTCAATCATCTAGTCATTAGTTTGATGCAAAACAATTAATGTAGTTTTTTTTAATAATAATGGATAGGTAAAACTTGACGGATGTTTTCACCGCCAATTTAGGTTAAAGAAATCGCATTTGAGAAGCTAGATGAGAAGACAAGTTGGAGCCTTCAATTACAATTCCAGACCGTGTCAGCTGCCACAAAATTTTAGTCCCTTAAAGCATTAATTGCCTTGCCAACTAGTTAAGATATCTCCTAAAAGTCATATCATAAATCAATGCACATTAACTCGTGCATCAAAATATTATCAGCATTCAAACTTCAAACTTAACCTTCTGCATTGAAAACCCAGTACCAGTCTGAGGCAGTGTTTAAGAAGAGCAAAAAAGCTTTTGGTTTAGAGAAAACAAAATTTTCTGACATCAAAATGGAAATATAATCTCCCTTAGGTTTTTTTTTGCAAAAAATAGTGCCTATCACATTGTCCAAACTTCGCTTATTGCAAAATAACCTCCATACTAGCAGGCTGACGTGCAATAACTTTAGAATCTTTTCTTTTGAATGGTCCTTGCATTATATTTCTAAATCCTATGTCCATCAATGTA